CTCGAAAATGATTCATGGTGAAGTAACCACAAGCCAAATGGCTGCAGTCTGTATACCGTAGATTTCTTGCAACGAGGATTGCATGGCCGACATCTCATACACGAGCAAGTACTATTATTGCAATAGACTTTGGCATCTCTATGATATACACGCACTTCATAGTAACCATGGCCAATGTCATGTACAGTCCACGATGCGGACTTATCGGCTCCCTTTTGAATTTTGGCCTCCGCCCACAGGTAAGAACATTGATCATTTGCTCAACAAAAAAAAAAGGATTTCTTTTGTTAGTATTCCAACAAAAAATTAAGAGAAAAATTTAAACCAAGATGCGTCACTATAATAACCTCCTCTAGCATGGCGTATATAATACCACTCTTGTTGGAATGATCAGAAGTAATCCATAAGCCCCACAATTGGTAATTTTCGAGCATAATAGGACAGTGCATTTACCGACTCGTGGACTGTTTGAAGTCATGATGTTTTAGCGCATTCCTGAGAAATGCGCCATTGACCATCTCTCTGGCCCAACCTGGTCCATCAACGGAGCTCCAACAAGTACATCAACTCGTAGACCCTCCATATTCAGTTCAAATTTGTCCATTGTATACGATTTATTGGTCTTCCAGAATAATTTCTTCTTATATTTGACCCTTCTATCCCTGGCTTTTAAGTTCATCTCCAGGTGACGAAAATAAAGCACATGATAGGCCATTGAGAACACGATGGTAATTGCTTGGTTTATAGAAGCAGACATGTCAGATATGAAAACCAACCCTTCCAATCCAATACACTGCTTCAACATGGACAAAAACCAAGTCCACATATCCCCACTCTCAGACCTACCAACTCCGAAATCGATGGATACAATTTGGTTATTTGCGTCCATAGCATAGCTAAGAACATTGTGCCCAAGAAATGCCCCTTAAAATAAGCACCACTGATTATAAGCACCCGACACAAGTGCGATACAAACGACCAAATCTGAATAATTAGGGTGTTCACATATTATAATATTATAATATATAGTTGTGCAAAAAATAAAAATAGAATTTAAAATGGTGGAATAAGTGACAACAAAACTATATGTACCGCGATCGAGGGCAGTGAAACACATCTTAAACCTCGTCTGTTATTTGTCCTAATTTGGGTCATCATACCAGGATTATAGAGCTCCAAATTATACATAAACGTAACGAGTCAGGTAAACGAATTCTCCAGGCAACCCCTTACCATGCTTAGTGCATAAGTTTTGCATGCCAAGCTTGCCGGTACGAAATATTTATTTTCAACTTATCTCTTATATTGTTGACAATGTCAGCTCCACGAAGTGTCCTGCTAGTATCCTACACTTTAAGATAAATTAAATGGCCCAACACTCTTCTATTTTCTTGAAGGTGGTTGGGATGCATGTGGGTCTTTAAGCAGGTGTGTACTTCATGCAGCTTTCGTACATGAAGCATCTTTTTTTTTACAGAGGTTGTCATGATACGCCAATCACAGTTTTCTTGCGCACATTTGGCCTCGTATTTGGTTTTTGAAGATCTGTGCACTTTAAACTCGAAAGGCTCTTTAAGAAACTTCAACTTGAGGCGAGCGTCATTTCTTTTTTCATAGGGAATTACCTACGACAAACTTACTCTTCCACTACGATTATAAGGTATGGGTTGGTTGGGTATGATAATGGGCTCTAACATTGGAAGGAGAGGAGGCATATATCAAAAAAAAATTATCCCAGCGAATGATTTAACAGAAGAAGTTTTTCTTGTTGCTTCTTCATCGGTATCAATATCAGATATACCCACATGATAGACATGAGATTCCTCATCGTCTTTGTGAACTTCTCCTTCTTTTTCTTCTTCTCCATCTTCTTCTCCTTGCTCTACTACTTTTTTGTCTCCAAAATGAAATCAGGGATATAGTCACTAAGACCATATATCCATCTAAAATAAGATCGGAGGTAACCCCATATGTATGTTCGTTTTTTGAATCAAACTGAGGCATGTAAGAAGTTTGATTATGCTCTGGAGCATACACATGACCTCTGGTATTTGAACTACCATCAACATTGCTTCCAACGCACATCGATAAATCAACATACACATGAAGTGTTGGCAGATTATGTGAACCAGCAGCAAATTCCATGAAAGACAAAATATCTTTAGTATCTCCTAACTCATAAAATTCGCTAGAGTACTTGTTCGTCATTCTAGTGATACCAACAGATGAGTTGATACCACATTTTGTTTGAACATAACTAACACCTCAAATGTGTAATGTTTGATGGCACCATGACGTGGAACATCGGTTGATCAGAAACATACTCCCACTCTTGATTAATTTGTTGCCATGAATCCCCACCACAAATACATATATATTATCAGTTACAGAACTCATTTTGAAAAAAAAAACATAGAACAAAGAAAGGAAGATACATGAAAGAAATATTTGATTGAAAAATTGGTTGAAAACTTGGTGATCTTCAACATTAATCGTTGTTCTTCTTATACAAATTTGGTGTAATCAAATTGTACCACATTGAAATTATTCATCTCTTAAAGTTGTATAATTCATAATCGTGGTGGAAAAATACAGTGCAAAACTACGAGAAAAACATACCTAAAAAACGTGAAAAAATAAGTTATTTATCACAGATTACGGACCTAGAACCGCAATTGCAGATACAGGTCCATAATTGCAGACCCAATAACACTCCAGATCTGACATGTAATTACAGACCTGCTTTCTGATTACGGACTGAAAATCGGAATTTGATGAGATGCTGACATGTAGCATGTCTGCAATATTGCAGATGTGTCATTGTGGACCTGGTCCGATTCTACAAAAAGAATTATCGTTTAGCCAGGTCCATAATAAATATTGCAGATGTGGTGATATTTGGATCAAACCGAAACACACAGGCTAATAGAAAATTTTAGATGGATAAAATGAATAGTTTGATCAATTTCCCTTAATAATACAACTCTACATGCCTTGTGTTCCAAACGAAACGATATGATATTTGCATGGCTGCTATCAAATATCGAAGACTTGTGGAGCACAGAGCTGCCACGTGGCATTAGACATCCAAGATCAGATGAAACATTATATTAACAGAAAAAATACGTTTGAAAATTAAGTAAAAGATAAAACATTTGTATGTGATTGATAAGAAAATTTATAAATTAATGGAAATTATAAAGAAGTTAGTTTTTTATATAATTAGAAAATGTATGATATATAACACCATAACAAAATTTATTTTACAAGATTTAAAATGTCTAAACGTCTTAATAAAATATTTTATAAGACCAAACCAAAAAACAACATACTTAAAAGTGTTGCAATGAGTTTATATTACGTTTTAAAATGTTTCAACAAGTTTTTTTGGACGCTCTCAAAATAAAGTATCGTATCAACTATTTTATCACTATTTGAAAAAAATGTCCTATAATAAGACGAGCTTATAAGACACTTATCAAAAGTATCATGTAGTATAATCAATCTGACATTTTATCTTAATAACGTCCTAAGATTTTTGTTAGAACACTCAAAAGTTTTCTATAAACTTATTATGACATTTTTAGATATGACGTTTTGTAGTTTGATCTTATAAACGTAAGTTCTATAAAGTATTATATCAGAACTTTTAGACATTTTAGACGTTCTATAAAATCAACATTATTACATTATAACTTTATGAAGGAAAACATGTAAAACTACGAATTACTTTCTTATGTTTTTTCTGGTTATGGAAAAGCAAGATATGTGCGACCAATGACAATGGAGATAAAGATATCTGAAGATAACAAAGGCTTAGCCTTTTAAATCTATAAATGAAGTCTCAACGTTCACAGATCTTCACAAACTCTAACTAAATCAAAACAACCAATCTCTTCTTCTAACCATGGCTGCTGCTTCCTCCATGGCTCTCTCTTCTCCTTTCGCCGGACAAGCGATGAAAACAGCACCGTCCAGTTCCGAGATTTTTGGAAACGGAAGGGTTTCAATGAGGAAAACCGCAGTCAAAAAGGTTGCACCATCAGGAAGCCCATGGTACGGTCCTGACAGAGTCAAGTACCTAGGCCCATTCTCCGGTGAGGCCCCATCATACCTTACCGGTGAATTCCCAGGTGACTACGGGTGGGACACTGCCGGACTTTCTGCTGATCCAGAAACATTTGCCAAGAACCGTGAGCTCGAGGTCATTCACTGTAGATGGGCCATGCTTGGAGCTCTTGGGTGCGTCTTCCCCGAGCTCTTGGCTCGTAACGGTGTGAAGTTTGGTGAGGCCGTATGGTTCAAGGCTGGAGCACAAATCTTTAGCGAAGGTGGTCTTGATTACTTAGGAAACCCAAGTTTGGTCCATGCCCAAAGCATCTTGGCCATCTGGGCCACCCAAGTGATCTTGATGGGTGCGGTTGAAGGTTACAGAGTTGCGGGTGGACCCTTGGGGGAGATTGTTGACCCACTTTACCCTGGTGGTAGCTTTGATCCTTTGGGTCTTGCAGATGACCCAGAGGCTTTTGCCGAGTTGAAGGTGAAAGAGATCAAGAATGGAAGACTAGCCATGTTCTCTATGTTTGGGTTCTTTGTTCAAGCCATTGTCACGGGAAAGGGACCATTGGAGAACTTGGCTGACCACCTGGCTGACCCAGTTGCCAACAATGCATGGTCGTATGCTACAAATTTTGTCCCTGGAAAGTGAATGTTGATGTAAAACGATATGTGAATTAATTAATATATATGGTTATTTTTGGGCATTTTACACTTACTTTTTCAACATTTTGGTCACTGTATAACAGACATGGGTTTAAATATTTGTTAACGGTTTGAAAAGGAAAACATTAACAAATATATGTTTCTAATTATAACAGCAGCAGGCAGAATACACACACAATCGGTGTCCCACTGTTAATTTCAAGGCCTCATCGAATTAGTCAAGAGGCGTACAAATTGACTCAGATACCCACATTTATAGAGTATATGAATCCCACAACAGAGATCTAACACCAAATTTTATTGACTAAAGTGTGCATCTTTACATGTATATGAATGACAGACTCATGGTGTACAATGTCTGTTCTGTAAAAACCACATATCGACATGATTTACACTGGCAATAATTCGTCAATGTTACTAATATGGACAACTGTTGTATAAACCAATTTGTGACAAGAAGTAACTAATGCCTTCAAATTTCTCTAACGGGTATTAACCATTTGGTCGTGTTATGGATGTACCATTTGCATTTGATGCAGGTTCAGCCGTAAAAGGGTATACTTGGAGAGGAAACTGGTGGAGATGGGTAGGATTAGCCAGGTGCACAACGAGCTGCCTTTGCTCTGGATACTGATTGTAGATAAAGTTCTTCGTACTGTGATGCTGATGTGTCCCAACTGAAGTCTATGTTCATGACTTTGTGCATTAGCTCTTGCCAACCTTCGCTATCACTGTTGTAGTGGTTAAAGGCTCGATCAAAAGCACCATTGAACCCCTGCATGTTTTCATCAAAATGCGTAACATTCGACCCATAGAAAAACACAAAAAAGGATGCTCATATGAAGTCCGGAAAATGAAATAACATGGAGAGAAAACAGTGAGTTTAGGTGTAATTTCATTGTGAATATTTGTAATCGTCAACATGCAAAAAGCCACCAATGTATGCAAAAGGAAACCACATGAAAGTGCAAACTTAGGTGGTATTTTTTGCATTTTCAGAAGTATCCAACTAGATAGATATACTCTTTCATCTCAAAAACATTTTTATTTTTGAAACAAAGTAAAGGGTGCACAATCAAAAAGGAGTAAAACATAAATTATTAGCCTGAGATGGGTACAATATGAGACACACAGATGCTAAATAAAAGGAAGAACTTTACCTGCTCATCCGGTGTTATAAATGTAAATCCATTTCTTAATTGAACTGGAATGGTATCATCATCAACGTCAAAAACACTGCAAATGAATGAGCTTTAGAGGATCAAATTCCAAAAATATAATCTCAAATGAAGATATATATGTTTAAAACAAGGAGAAACAAGTTCACCTGTCATTTAGACCCCCTGTCTTTCTAACGATGGGGATTGCACCATATCTCATGGCTATCATCTGAAAAAGTAGAGAACCAAATAACAATAAACATGTCTGAATCCACTTTCAAATGTTATTGTTCAATTGTATCTACAAACACTGCACCTGTGTTAAGCCACAAGGCTCGAATATAGATGGAATGATGAACATGTCTGATGCTGCATATATAGAATGTGAAAGAGCCTCATCATACTTCAAAATCAGCCGAATATGCTCATGATTTTGAAATTTGTTTGCGATCTCCTCAAATTCCCTCTACAAACGAAACCTCAACTAATTAATCACTTTTAACGATTTCTTAAAACATACTAAATGCATACACTTTCAGATTCCATATTTGTTGCAGCAAGTTCCCTTAAAATGTTCACAAATTATAAGAAAAGGTCACATGATAGTTGAAATGGAACTTGTATCTTACACATTAAAAATTGCTACATTGAATGAACCAGTGCATATGTTAATGTTCACTAAAATACAGTCAGTGATGTACACGTTTCAATTAAAACCAACTAGAAGCCTGAACTGCAAGCAAAGAAAAGCAATTTGATGGGAAAGCATCATACCATAACCAGTACTGTTACCTTTTCTATTGGTATTTGATGGAAAGATTAATATTTACATAAAAGCAAATCAGTAAAAAGTAACCAAAAGATAACAGAAATATGAGTTACAACATGGGAATGGGGGGTTTCAAGACCATCCAGAGATTTCAGAGTTCAGTTGGGACTTCAATTTTAATCCACTTAATGCTATAGTATTCCTACTGTCAAAATTATATTGATTATTTACCTTATGTGAGAAAATAGTTTGGCATCACTTAATCCTATAGTGCATCATGTGAAAAGATATGTTTTATAACATGCACATTGGCTGCTTCTATTAAACTGTGCTATGGCCACTGCTTTACCATCTTTTTTTACATCATCTTTCCTTGGAGATATTGAAAAGTAACTTTTTTAAAATGACCAGCAATCACCCAAATCCATCATGAAATGGTTGTACCATGTTGAAGGTTAGTGTTTCACAACATGCAGATTGGGTGCTTGCTGCAGAAACTCTTACAAATCCTGTCTCATGTTTCCAATTTAACATATTATTCCCGGCCCTAGGATTATAAGATTACCATGTGAAACTCTTACTAATTAGAAAGTAGTATACGTGCAGCATGAAAACTTAATGTTTTTAAATTCAAAAGTAAGAGTTTATCTCCTTGTATGCATGCAGCATTTTTAAATGATCAGTTTTACTAGAATGAGATAGATAACAAACAAGGTTCTCATGCTAAAGAGTCAGAACTTTACATGAATACTTGGCACAGGGCTTGAACCAAGCAATACAAATTGTCCTCCCAACTCCAATGCCCGATATATTGCATGCCTGATGAGATGCACACCCTTCTGTGGCACCAATCTTGTTATACAGCCAACCTGTGGAATGATGTGTCAATAAGCTACAAAACGATGAAATTCAAAGATATATATATATATATATATATATATATATTGTTTTACAAAGACGATATTCACAAAGACAATCACATCGTTAGCATGAAATGAGGAGAGTTAGCAATGGAGTCATCCACTTGGATTTAACATCAACTACAGAGTAATGGAAACTCACAGAATCAATGTTCATGGTTTCATGTTATTTAAGTGGTCATTCTATTTCTTATAAAACAACAGCTACAAGTGTTACAATATGACCATTTTGAGTAACCATTGGATACAATTGCTTTATATGTTTACTGGGCATGAGAACTGGAAGTACATTTTCTAACTTCCTACCATGTGAACAGTTCCACTTATCACATGCAATGGCATTCCAGGAAATATATAATCATACAGGATATAAGATTGAGTCATGATGATTTATCTAATTACATAACTCAAATTCAAGTTTTTATCATCTTAGGATACTGCAAGCTGGGCTCTTCCAAATGATTGGGGTTCTCTCAAGATAATCTAGATCCCTTGAGTTCGAATTCCACACTTAGGTATTGCCTAGTTAATTACCAGGTGTGGATCAATAGGCAGGCGGCAAAAGTTTCACCACCTCAGGTGTAGTTTCCTGGGCCATGCAAAGGAAAATATATTAGCATGTGTGTGTGTTTGTTTCATATTGGTGTAAGATTAACTTCAAAAGAACTAACATTTGAGATGTCAATATATCCTTGATGCTTGCAAGGTTATAGATCTTATATTCTTATTTCTGAGAAACTGATAGAATAACAGAGCTCTTAAAATTTACAGAAGGCATTCAGGGAGAGAAAAGAGGTTACCAATGGCCTCCTACTATCAGCAAAAGAAAGCCCAAGATGTCTTCTTAAAGCTTTTTTATTCTCAGCTTTCCCCTCAAGATCGTCAGCATTGTACTGGAATCTAAGATGGCTGTCAGTAGCAGGATTCCAAGCATCAGTATCAATTCCATTCAGAATCCCAACAAACTTTTGAGCATGATCATTAAGGGTTGCATGAAGCCCTTGTCCTCCCTGTATAATAAAAGAAAGTTCCTTAGTGTGCCGGTCATAACCATGATGTACATTTGTTTGGATAAGAATACATTGAATGCACTACATTTCTTGGGATAAAAATACTCGAATATGAAAGAACATAAAGCAATTCAATGAAATATCCATACCTGTGAAGTCCGCACCTCTTGTGCATAGGTTGGTGATACTGTTGTTACAATGTTAGAGAACACGATTGCACCCTGAAACATGATAAGTACATATTAATAAGTACATATCTGTAAACATCAACAAAAAGAAAAACTACAGAAGTCCATACAAGAAAAGATACATATTGACCAAAAAGAAAAATAAATGGGAAAACACACTAAATTAATGTACCTTAACAGGATTGATTCTGTCAGGTGATGAGTTGTCCTGCATCCTATCTGGTCTGTTAAGGTGGTGAACGTCAAGACCACAAGATGCTATCTCTGAAGCAGTTGTAGTACCCTGATACTCGAAATTATGACATGTAAAGCATATCCTAGCTGAATTTAGTCCTTTGGGTGCATATAGATCCCAGTACAGGGGTGCCTGAATAACAAGAGCATATCATCATTCTGAGCCTATAGATAGAATAAAATTAAAAAGAAACAAAGATCTAATCATCCATACGACAAAAGCTGTCTGCCAGTCATGACAATGAATAATATCTGGTTTTTTGCTAGCTTGATGAATCAGCTCAAGTGCTGCCCTGCTAAAGAATGAGAAGCGCTTCAGATCATCAGGCTCTCCATAGGTTTTCCCCCTCCAGAAAAATTTAGCAGGATGATGAGGCTCGATAAAGTAGACAGGAAGGCCTAAATATGCAAAATAACAAACACAGTTAAATTTTGCATCATTACACAAGCGAAGGACTTACTGAAAATCGATGCATATACAAGCTGAAAACATTCCAACCTTCAACTGTACCAACCCAAATTTTATTATTGTACAAGCGGCCATCAAAATACGACTCAACCACTAAATCTAAAACCTGTACAGAAAGAGGTAGACAGGTACATGAGCAGTCCTCAAAAATCTTTGCATTCCTCAACTATGATGATGAAAAAGGGAAAAAATATACCCTTAAATCCTGAATACATTCATACTGCATGCAATCATATTTTGGAAGAATTATTTCCACAAGGTGTCCTTTCTTCTGTAGTGCTTTACTAAGAGCAGACAACACATCCCCTAGACCACCAACCTAAAATTTGCAAGAAAAAGATTAGGCAAAAAAAGAGAAAAAATGGAAGTTAATTTCAACAAAGGATATATTTTATTTGATTTTGGCATGTTGTCAAATAAAATACTAATCATTGCACTACATACAGAGCAAGTCTTTATGCAACAAGATGCAGATGAACTAAAAGATAAAACGTCATCTATTACATAGATCAGAAAGAAAGAAATGACAGAGGCTAGTGATTCCACATAATGGAAGTACAATTTATGTTACAGAGTAATGAGCATAATGATTCTTGACAGCAACCACATACAGGACTGAGAACAGCCAAATATAGTATTAGAGCAGGTTATCATATGTGCAGGCTCAAAAACCATAGTGCAGTCGTTCCAGGGCATTATAGGCCCCCTATTTTATCACCGTTAACGTCCTTCATGAATTAAAAGTTGGGAATAGAGCTGTGACATATTCAGCACACAGGCACTGGTTGTGTCAACCAGATGACATGTCCACTTGTTATGGGTGTGATGATACCAGTGGTCTGCTATAACCATTTGATTTAGAAACCCAGGGGTTTGATATAAACTACTTGCCATTTATTACTTGAATGACCCAACCAGAATACAAAAAAGATGTGGCTCCCTGATAGGAGAAAAAGAACAAGCTTTAGTAGGTTGCTCAATTTTTCAGCCACTGTAGCTATAAAATAGATCTCATTTCTAAAAGGTTTATATGTAGGTATGTTTTTCAATTGCTTATTTTCTTTCATCTATAACATGTGATTTGCCATAGGTTTTTTCATCTATAGAATTTTTGTTCTGTTAGGGGTTGAGAGATTTATCTACAACTCCAGTGTTTGTGTTGGATTGTCTATTTCTGTTTCATTTCTGTGATTTGTTTCAGTCATGTTAAAGGGAAGGAAGGAAGAAATATGTTGGAAAATTATATAGGATTATTTCCTATGTATACGTATTTCAGTTAGGTAGGTAAATCTCTTATCTTGGTAGACTTTAATGCCATGTTAAATAAAAAACTAGATCCCCAAGATGAAGAGACTTCCATGTAAATCTAATCATATATGTATATATATGGAGAGAGAGAGAGAGAGAGGCGGGTTCAAATGAGAAGTCAGTCAACTTACAAGAAGTGTGAGAAGGGCCAAATCACATGTGATCCTATAGTAAATCACATGTGATCCTATAGTAAATCATATGTGATTTACAACAAGTCCAGAAGGGTCGTATTGACCAGCCATTGCACGGGCGAGTTTTCATGCAACCTTTGTCACGTTGACTAGTTGACATATCCTTCTAGACGTGTTGTAAATCACATGTGATTTACTATAAAATGACATGTGATTTGACCTTTCGTGCACTTCTCGTTTGATCCTCCTCCTATATATATATATATATACACACATATATATATATATGTGCATACATTGTTGAATAACAAATTTACATACAAAGTATTCGAGCCTGAGGTTGTTTCATGGTATCAGGAAGTTACTTCTGTTTGATGTTCCATTCAATCGGCTAACTAATTTTTCCGTAATTTTTTTCCTTGCCTGTCAACCTTTCCACTAATTATAGTTTCATCCAACTTTCTTGTTGAAAGTATTATATAGATAAAAACTCTCTCCAATAGCAAGCCAAACTTCAATAGATTCATCTACCATTACAGAAGGATCTCCCTTCCATAATTCCTCTTATCTCCAAGTTCTGAAATCAATCCCTTGCTCCAGATTACTCAACATAAACTCAATGGGTTGAATTTTCGTGAATTATTTCAATCTGTCCGCATAATTAGAGGAAAAGTGAAGACTGGTTATGTCACCTGTGAAATTCAATCCCTCGGTAGTGAAGATGATAGTTATAAGGTTTGGGATGCCCAGAACTTGATTGTTATGGTGTGGCTGGTTAATTCAACAAATCCTAAAATAATTAAAATGAAAAAAGGAACATCTTGAGAACTGAGAAAAATTCGAGTCAGAGCCCCAGATAATGGAATATGAGCCTGAAAGTTGGGAAAACCACACAAGGCGTTCCCATGTGTCCGGCCCATTAAAACCTTTTCGTGGATTGATAGCTACACCATAACTCCTCCCGAATCAAAAGCTACGCTCTTTTGAAGTCGGTGCTCACTTCATGATCCCATTGTTCCAAAAAGGTGTTGGCCAGTTGCTCAATTTGTTCCCTCGCCTATATGGCTATATCATAGTTTAACACGATCCATAACTCTTGCTTCAATATTCTCTGCTTAAGCATGAGCGTATGTCATATCAATATGCCCTTGGAGCCAGTAAAAACAAAAATGTAACACTGACAGCTCTAATAACAATAAACTTAACGAGAGAATATTTCCCATGTCTACTATTAAATGAGTGGCTTACCAACACCCACGATTAAATCAATGTTTCACATGTTGCTCATGCCAGATTTGGTCATAATAAATTGTTATACCCAGGATATTATGGTCAAAATAGGTGGCCAGGTATGGAGGACAGTTAGTCAACAGGGGTGGGCTGTTGTAGGAAAGTACAAGTGGTTAGTGCACTAGTACAAGTAGGTGAAGCAGGGTTAGTACATCCATTAGTATCTTAACATAAATAAGGGGAGGAGGAGGCATCAATCAGTTTTGGAAACAAATCGGCCAGAGCCTTGGGAGACCTCCAGCTTCTCCAAGTGTTGCACTCATACATTGTGAACTAGACAGTAATGGCATATAGAAAAAACCAATCTCACCAAAATAGCATATTGAAGAAAATGAAACTTCTCTTGTATACGTTGTGAAGTTATGGATAATGCGATAATTGCAGCTTACAAGAAGGCTTACCTTTGCAACTGGTGCCATCTCAGCAGCAATATGAATGACATGCAATCCTGGACTACAGTGAACAGGAAGCATTGGTTTATACAGTAGCATGTTAGAAAAGTGAATCATTATAAAACAATAAATACCCGGATGATGAAGATTTCAATCTGCGAAAAGCAGCAATAATTTCAGGCTCATTCTTTTCCTTGTATTCCATATAAACATCATGGATACGTCCATCCTTCTTCCATGCCAGTTCCCTTAGCAGTTTAGCCTCGTCCACATGAATTTTCTTTTCAAGAAACCAACCATCAATCATAAGCAACAAACGACTCCAGAATTCCCAGGGCATATCCACATTTTTACCTGTTGCTTTTTTCTTACTTTCTTCTTTCAAGTTATCAAGTGTATCTTGAAATTCCTTCACCGAGTCTTGGTATAGCTGTACATACGAATGTATCTCCGCATCAGACCTTTCAAGTCGTTCATCAAGCAGCTTTATTTTCTGTTGCATTAGATCATTATACTGTTGCAGCTTTTCTGATGATAATTTGTAAACGTTAGCATCTTCAAGAGATTCTTCCAGCCTTTCAACCTTCTTCCGCAGCTCCTGGTTTTGCTGTAATACCAAAATAGCTTGATCTGCCTGACTAGTTGACTTATCAAGTAATCCTTGCAAATGCTCTACCTTATCCCATAGGGTCTCATATTCCGATCTTAAACTAGAAAGTTGTGCACCATCTTCCCGAGAAAGAGTAAGCTTGTACTCCAACTCCTTTAACGAAGACTCCAAAATGGTGCGTTCTTCCTCCAGCACTTCAACGCGTTCATCTGTTCTCTTGACTTCACTAAGCTGCTCCTTAAGTGTCTCTAGGTCATTCTTCAGGGACAGGTTCTCATTCCTTAATGCATTCAGCTCCTCGCTTAGAGCACGGGTTTGTCGATCAGGAGAGCGGAGAACAATATCAGGCATTTCATTACGAGTTCCATTCCTGTTAGACATTTCCGTTTGAAGTTCCTCTAAATGGTGTTGTAATAGCTCCACATGTATCTTATCTTGTGCGGCAACTCTGATCCACGCATCAGTTTCAGCCAGCCTCACCTGCAACCTGTTAATTTCTCTTTGCAAGGCCTCTTTCTCACTAAGAATCTTTTCTAAATCGTCAAGTGCATGGATACGAGCTCGGTTTAGGATGTGAATATCTAGAAAACGATTATAAACATAAGAAAATATGGTTATTTATGCTACTAATATAAATTATAGAAAATAAAATTTACACTCGAGGGAAAAGGTTCTACTTTTCTCTGCATTACGTATCATCCCTATTACATCTTGAAGATTAATAGTTGAGAGATCATCCACTTTATCTGCAGCAATAGACTGTTTAAATAACAAAATTAGATTATTAACGATAGCAGATCCTTTCACACACAGATGGATGCCAATTCCCAAAAAATAGAAACATATGTGAGTCAGAGAATTCTTTAAGGCTACAATAGATGGTTCTTATTTTTTCACTGGAACTGAGAATTGATCAAGAAGGAAATCTCATGCACTTCAAACCTAATATAACATTCAGGAAGCTGTGAATTTCATAGTGTTTCCTGCTCTTTCTGACAATTCAGTTCCGAAACAGATAATTTATTCCACAAGTAGAATTTCAAGCATCAAATACATATTATGTATCAATGGCTAGAAAATTATGTTAACTACCTTTCTTAAGCAATTAAACTTTATATCGAACTGAAAAGGAGCAATACATGCTAGGGGATTACAATCATGATCATCATAGACAAAGTATATCACCTGATACAATATAATGATAGAAACCATGAAACTGAAATAACTGCTATATCACTAAAGCAAGACCCAAAAACTAGGTTTGAAGATGACCCACTACAAGATGACTACTTCAAGACCATCCATGGAAGAAACAGCAATTATGAGAGGACATGAGACATTATATCGAATTGGTACGACAGTACTGAAATTATAAGCAGATTTAACCAATAATAATTCCTATTAAAGGATCCTATGATATGTAGATATGATTTAAATAGATTATGAGGTTACCTGATAAAAGAGCATCTAAGGAGCACTAAGTCAAAAAAAAAACAAAAAAAATAGCATCCAGAGGTGTCTGAATATTCTACACATAAGACGACTAGACCTACTAAGGAAAGGTAAAGGTCAATTATGGAGCAGAGGGATTACTTATTTAGGAGGCTCAGAGAAAGATGCATAGTGAAAAAAGTACTCTGCCTACCTCTTGCCAAAAGAACAGAGAAAAAAGATGATAACATAAGTCATAATTAACTGTATGATGCATTTTTATTTACCTTTTGAAACCCAAAATATTTTTATTTACCTTTTGAAACCCAAAATAGCTGGAAACGGATGTAAAACTATACCTAGGATAATACCATCATATATGAATATTCTCAAGGCATACCGGGTTCAGTGTGCTGCTTGAATTCTTGTTATCGAAACGCTGAATTGCTACAATGTCATCAGAGGGAGACTTCTGAGAAAAAGCTGAGATGTCATCAGCATTTTCTGAATCACTAAGTCCACTAACATCTGGCATGAGGTTGTCATTTTGGGGAAGCTGTGCGGGAACAATTTTCTTTGCTTGTGGCCTCCGAGGTGGTAAGCTGTGCCAGTTTGAACATATTATGAAAAATTCAAACTCAACCACAGAAAAACAACACACAATGTATAACAGAACGAGGTATAAAAAGAACGTTGAAATTCAAATTGATCTGAGTATGTACTCAATCTACATATTTCTTACCATGTCATTGAATGATTCAAGCAACATTTTATCCCAAAGAAAATTATTGAAACAACTTCTAATAAAAAGTTAAATCCCATGTTTGACTAATTGTTAATTCTGCTAAACTAACAAAACCACTGAATTGAGTCAAAAGATCATATAAACCTGCAAAGAGATATTCCAATATTTACAATATTGTAGTATCTGTTTCTGTTTGCTCAAAAAGTCAATCGAGTGATGGTCTTCTTCGTACCTACACTTACTAGGCTACCATATACTATTTCTCCCTCTTAACCATCTGAAAGTGCCTTCTATTATATTTTTTAAGAACATATTGTTAGGGGCTGTTCAATAAGAGCTTAATGGGCTGTATAATGGATATGGTTTATTCACACAGCCATATCTAGCTGTTCAGTCTGGGCTTATTCAGTCAGCCGATGGGTGATTCACTCAGCTTGAAAACCCTTCTCCTATACACTCAGCCATTAAATTGCATTAATTTCCCAATCTACCCCTCTCCTCAACTACTCATATTAAACTCCTATACACGGCTCCTTCCCCATTGACATTCCTTCCCCATTGACGCTCCTTCCAGGCTTCCCATCGACGCTCCTCCCAACTACACGCCTCCTCCAGGTCCAGCTTCCAGCCCTCGTCATCACCGGTGTTCCAGTCGTCGCCGGCGTTCCACTGGTTCAAGCCCTCGCCGGGTGTTGATCTTCCAACCTTATTGTCAAAGAAACCCACACCTGAAGAAATATCCCTCAACAGATCTGGTATAGTGGCAACCATGGAAGTTGATATTGGGGACTTAGCGCAGAGGTTTGGATCTCATAACAGATCCTTTCTCTTTCTTAATTCTGTGCTTCCTCATCCATTTTGGGTTTTGGGTTAATGGGTTTTGCATGAATCAACAGATGAGTTTTTTTATTATTGATGCATTTTATTAATTTTGATGTTTATGGGTTTTGTTTGTTGCTTTTCTTTTGTTATTGTGTATGTTCATAGGAAGAAGAAATATGATTGGGAACTTGGGATAATGAACAAGAAATTAACTCTTTTGTTAATGAAAAAGCTAAAAAAATGGAAGGAGTAAATGGTCACTTATGTTATTCAGACAGTTTATTCAACACAACAACCGAACAACAATTTACTTGTTATCATGCAGACAACTTTATGATTACAGACAACTTTATCCATACAAGTCTTAATAGAAAACGAACCGAACAACCCCTTAGTCTCCAATGGCTGAAAAATGTTACCACTGTCATTTCAAGGCTCTTTAACAGAGGACCAGGTGATTTTGTCCCATTAGACAACTAATCAACAAGTTATTAACAACTTGGTCTTCCCCATTACATTCATCCACATCTCTAAGAATCTTTTCCATTAGATTTCTTGCACGTCACCTTCATACACAAGGCATGAAATTCTTGACATTTTTTTCCTGTTGATTTCTTAGCTAACAGATCAATCTGTTTTCATAGAAGAGCCAACAACAAGGTCCAACCTTAATAATTCCCTCACATGCATAGCATATAGCTAAGAGAAGATGGGGATGTCTCTGTTACAATTTTAGTCCTCATAAATTTCCTGAAAGGTTAGTGAGGATAACCCTAGATAGAACGCGGAGCACCGGCCCTGGCCGCCGATACAGTACCATGCTTACCAGCTCTTACGGCAATGCACGAATGGAGAAAGAAACCAATATGCATTTTCAGAAACAAATTGAAAGACCATATGGGAAAATGAAAACAAATGTTGGCAATTGATTCCATCAGATATTTAGATTCTAATAACATATTGATTCAACTCCACTAGAACATAATTATTTAACAGAAAGAGCCCACCAATGCATAACATGATCCACAGTAATTTCCAAATGGTTCTGCAATACAGTATTGTATCCCTTTATCATATAACACATAAAGGAAAGTGCTCTCCTATATTATTTTAGGAACCGTGGTTCAATTTACAATAACTCTTCCTTTCCATCAAAGTTTTTAGTAGCAATAAAATCGTAAACATTTTCTTTAGAGTAGCTGTTATTGGTTAATTGGGTCGGGTTTCAATTTCTTAAAAAAACGTGAGCTCACCTGATCGTGCACCAACACATTTAAAAACAACATTAAAAAAACGTAAATAAATTAAGCACAACGCAAGGTCTAAACAGAGAAATCATTGAACGTGAAGTTAAACACAATAGTGTTCAAAATAATAAGATAACATAGAAGTAGATACGGGGATATGCTTCCAATAATCCAATGGCAGCCATGCCAAGTTTGCTAATACTACTAAACTAGAATAGAAAACAAAGTTCCATTCAAAATTCCCAAATCCATCTACCTTCCTCGAAACAAGAAGATACATAGGAATTTATAGCCCAAAAACAGAAATGCATCTCAAAATTGAAACTAACTAAAGAAGAAACCGTATCTTCTTTGGCAACGCAACACATGATTTTGAGAACGAAACCAAGAAGAATACCTGGAGTTACGTTGACGCATCTTGCAGGAAACTGTAAGCAAGGGAGGAGAAGGCAAAGAGTAATACCGCACATTGAAATGCTTGCAGTCAAGCACTGTGCAACAGCTCCATCCATGGCTCAGAAAGCACGCCGATAGCTTCCCCACCATGGAATCAAAAACAAGAAAACTTCTACACTATGTGAAAACAGTGTGTTGAGAGAGAGAGAGAGAGAGAGGGAGGGAGAGACGAACGGAAAAGTAAAGATTTTATCTATTTCAGGTGGTTTTAAATAATCTTAGAAAATTTTAATCAAGTGTGAGAGCGAGTACGGTTTACTGCCACGTGGAAGTATCTGATGGAGTTTTGGCATTGTTTGTATTTCCTCAACGGTAGAGATTAGCGACTGACTTGGAGGTTGGACATTGGGAAGATGCATGTAAACATTTCTTGATTGCTTTCAAAACAGACCGTAAGGAACTAATTTACTGCGTGCTTGTGTAGGTTCCAATCCACGCGGCAGTATCTTGATTTGATATGGGAATGAAGTTGACAAAACAGATCTAATCGGACGGTTAAGAAACGATCATTTTTAGAGGGTGAAGTGGCCTATATAAAGTTTGTTCATATCTTACAAAATGGATTATGTATTATGCTTCCCCGATCTCAAGAAATCTAGCGGGAGCTGTTACTGCCACGTAAGCAATTTCAAAGTGTGTTCACACATGATCGACAACAATTCATTCCAAAACGAGAACTTAAAATCAAAATCCCTTAAAAAAATATGTTCATTCATTTATAGATTTTTTATTTTAAATAACTCAATATTAGAAATTGCAATGAGTCAGGTTTAGACTGGTTATTGGTATCTTTGTCTTCGAAACCATAACTAAAACCATTCCAATAACTGCCCCGATCCTCGTAGGGAATCTTATCGGAGTTCCCCATCGGGTCCCCGAGGTTTCCCTGATCCCTGTTGGGGAACCCGTTAAGGGTAAAAATTCTTTTTTCCCCATTCACCGTTGGTTATAACCGAACTCGAAACCGATCTAAAAAATTACAATATGTTAATTTTCACAACTAAAAGTAGATTACAATTTTTTTAAAGATGTAAGTTTAAATGTCTCAAACATAATCGAACCAATTACAAACATGTATTATATTACAATATAAAACTAAACAGATCATAAATTCAAACATCATACAACTAAAATCATGATTTTACGATTAGACAAATAAACTAGATTTTTTCGTGAGCTTCATTTGGGTTGTTGAGGTAAAGTGAATAAAAGTCTTTTAAATTTTAATATTACCATTTTCTTTTAATGATATTATATATATATATATATATATATATATAAATGAAAATTAATATATATACAGATATTGCGTCGGGCATGCCCGTGATCACCCCCGCTAAAATCTCCGAATTTGTCTTCGATCCCTGCCCCATCCCCGATAAGATGTCCCCAAACCCAGCCAGAAAGTTTCGGTTTTTGGTTCTCACCATCAGTTTCGAATTTTTTTGCTATCCATACTCAATATTAATTATAATATTAAAATATTTTATTTACTTGTCAAAATATTATTTATTTTTTATATTTTCAAAGTTTCTTATTAATGATCTCAATTGATAATCATTTTTAGGATTTTTTTATATTTGAAGAAAAACTCTTCTTTTTCCTGCTTTCTTCATTTTGAAGATAGTTTTAGAAAATGTGTTAGAGTAAAATATTAGCTCAAAATTTTTATATTCTTGAACGGGAGAGAAATGAAAGGAAATATGTCATTTTACAAATATACCCTTATTTTACAAGTTTTTAGAAACTCTTTTGAGTTATTATTTCTCTCTCCTTATATCAAGCTTTTAGGAACTCTTTGAGTTTTATCATGTTTTTTTTATTTTAAAGAACAATTTAGAGAATCTGTTGGAGCAAAACAAAGAATCAAACCTCTATTTTCTTTATTTTAGAGAATTTGTTGGAGATGCTTATATGATTGTCATTTTTCATTTCTTATAGAACAAAAGCTAGCTTAATGAACACATTAGAAGATAATGTATAAATGTATTTTAAAGAATAGAATGATTGTTTTCATGAGAACTTTTGGCACGAGTTCTCCAATAAGCATATCCCTCTAAATGATTAACACATGATTATTTTCAACACAGTGATAACCGGTGTGAGAAACAATAAAAACTCACATATATACTAAGAGACTGTTTACCAAATGTCAGGTTCTAAATGACGTAAGGCATAGCATGACGACAAGTTCAAGTCTCAAGTCTTACGAGTTACGGCGAGGCTACGACGTTTTTCAAGGCATGTCTTAAAACGGTACGTGCATACACACACATATATACATACACATGCACGCACCTTTGTACATGTTATTTTGAATAATAGTTTCGAACAAATTAAATTCATATAAAGTAATAAAACTAAAAAGAAAGAAGAATCATTGATACCAAATATATAGAGCTTATAGAAAATGATAACAAAAGTGTAAAATCGAGATTAAATCTCTTGAATCTCTATCTACTTATTTTTATCAATTTTCAAAGAATTCGTGTTCGAATTTTCATGTACAAGAATGTGAGTAAATATTTAACTATGTAAAGTTTTTTAAGTTATATTTTTATGTTTATTTATGTCCTAGATCTCATACATAATTATCATTTATTACTCAGATTATATATTAAAGTAGCCTCATACCTTACAAAATAAGGTATCGTAACGTGTCATAACACGTTCCAAATCCTTAGAATGGAGCCATGGGGGTTAAGTTAACGTAGCAACGAACCCAAGCCTTGACGCCATAACGCGTCATAACAAGTTATTTAGAACTATGCCAAATGTTTTTTTTAAGTATATAATATTTATATACGGCAAATGCAACAAATAAACTCACACACTCTCCTCACCTATGGTGAGGTTTGAACCCCTGACCTCCTAGAAGGTCAAGGGCTACGATACCGCTAGGCCAAAGGCCCTTTGGTAACTATGCCAAATGTTAACGGGGTAAGAATCATCATTGTCACTTAAGGGGTGTTTGGTTTATGGATTTTGAATGAATTGGAATGAAAATTTTCTTTGACCAAATTTCAATTCCTATGTTTGTTGCACATATTGAAAATGTAGGAATTCATTGAATTCCTTAGATTAAAGATTTTACTATTAGATTTAAACTGTAACAGTAATCAAGGTATAGGGGCTTATTTTGTAAATATCTTTGGGGTATAAATACATTGTATTAGGGGCTGTTCAGAAGTGACTTAATGGGCTGTATAGCATGTATGGCTTATTCACTAAGCCATATATAAGTGTTCGGAAGTGACTTAATGGGGCAGAAAGAGGCTGATTCACTCAGCCCAACAAGGGGAGTCATATCCACTCAGCCATTTTTTTTTACCTTCTTACCCTTTGTAAAACACTCCCCTAATTAAACAAAAAAACAACCAAATCACTTTTTCTCCCTTAGATCCAACATATTCATCTCGTTCTCTCCCTGCCAAGGTTCTCCAGCAATCTCCAAGGTTCCCCGGCGATTCTCCAAGGTTCTCAGGCCATTCTCCAAGGTTCTCGGTCCCTTAGCATCCTTCTCCGGCCGGTCTCCAAGGTTGTCCAACTATCTCATGGTTCCTTCTCCAGCAATCTCCTAGTTTCTAGTGGAGAAAACCGATGATCTCCTGGTTTGTTCTGCGGTGATCTCCCATTCACTTCACATCGTCTCCTACCACTGTTTGGTTCTTCATCGTTTCAGTTTTGGTTGTAGAACTCGATCTAATCTTTGTTTTTAAGCTTTGGTTAATGATCTTGTATTTGGGTTTTGGGTTTGGTTTGGTTACCAATCTTATTTTTTTTCTTTGGGTACAATCTTGAAAAAAGTTTGATCTACATAAATTTACTTGTTATTCATAATTTGGGTTCTTGATTTGCTTGTACAAAATGTATTTATTTATCAAGATATGTATAAAAAAAGAAAAAATTAGGAATGGGGGTAAAATGGTCATTTCTGATATTTAGACTGTTTATTCAGCACAACAACAAGACAACAACTTATCTGTTAATATACAGAGAACTATATCAATACAAACAACTATATCTATACAGGTCTTAACAGAAAACGAACCGAACAACCCCTTAGTTTGTTTATCTAACTAAACCCCTTAGTTTGTTTATCTAACTAAGCTTTCTTATTGTAAACTGTATCTTGTAATTCTTTCTCTCTCAATAACAATACAAAAGGTGATTTCTCCATTGATGATTTCTTGAAGCTTCTGTTAATACAACTTGATTCGAGGATTAACAATTGGTATCAGAGCAAGATGAAAGTTTGATTTGATTCAAATTAGTCGAATTTTGAAAGATTTTTGAAAGTTTTGAACTTTGTTTTGAGGATCGACTGTTTCTTGATCAATATTATTGGTTTTGAAGAATTAGTGATCATTTATTTTTTTCAATTTATTTGGTTTTTAGTAATGGAAAGAATTTGAATCAATTTCATCTTCAATTTGTTAGATTTTGATCATAATTTTGATTCTTTAAAACCGAAGTCCTAATCCTTCACCAAAGAGTTAAATCGTAAGCAGACTTCCTTAGTGAAAAAAGGGGCCCCATTTTATCATCTCATAACAATTTTCTTGAGGTTGTTGAGTTCTTGATAGTTTTGGGTTGATTTGACAAAATTAGCCCATTGTAATATGTTTTTGGTACAAAGATCATTAATTGTATTGTTACACACATTTCAAGGCTTCGTGTTTACTTGTATCAAATTTGGATGAGTTTTTGAACTATTTCTGTTGAAGATTTGAGTTTATCGCAAGATTGAGCATGAATATCTATCGCATAGCTGCCTGTGATTGTTAAGTATACCGCATCAGTTATTTGTGATAGTTGACCATATCACATCAGTTATATGCTATAGTTGACTATATCGCATAAGAGGCTGTGATAGTTGCACAAAGGGTCTGCGATAGTTGGATCTATCGTACAAAGAGCCTGCAATAGTTGGAACTATCAGGGTCTGTGGTAATTGAATCTATCACATAACATTGTTGGGATAGTTGGAGTTTATCGTACAAGTATCATGCGATACATTTGGTTGTCTTGCTATAATTGAGGTCTGAGATAGTTTGAGATGGTTGATTTTCAGAGTTTGGATATTTGGA